ATCATAAATCCTCAAAATTACTTTGTCAATTTCTTTTCATATTATATATATAGCTTGCCATTTCTAGAAGGAACTCTCCTAGGATATTGATAATGGTGGCTTTAGTTTATAGACCAATTTCTAGGTAATTGCCATCTTAACAATATTGAGCCTATTCATAACAGCTCTTCTGTTTCTGCAGTTGTTACTGTTGCCTATTACTAGTGCATGTGAAAATATCGGGTTTTGCACTTCAGTGTGATCTCCAGCAACCTCACTAAATTTCATTCTTCTAGCAGCTTTGTATTAGCTCCCCAGTGGATTGAACTGATTCCTGGTTTCCATTTTCAGCTACCATCCTCCTGGCTCTATAAATGCTGCGAGCATGGGCTTTCTTTGTTTGAGACCATTTACCAGGTGCACAGGGACCTGTGAACTGCATGCAGCCTATGACAAGACACCGATGGCAGCTATGTGCAGAATGCCACTTCCTTAATGAGAGCTCTGGTGCTTTGACACCTGTCATTCCCAGCTGTTACGCATGCCAGATCCTTCCATGTATGACATATAGCTTTGAGAGAGAGGAAGAAAGAGAATTCTTTCCTTGTTTAGAATACTGTTAAGGCATTCTATTCACATGGTGTAATCAATTTGTTTGATCTTAATGGACAAGAGAAATCCCTAGTGATTGGAGCACTGGCATTCTCTGTATGCACCTCCCTTCTGCCGTCCACACAAAAACACTGAGATGCTTGCAAGCATGTTCCCAGGCTCAGGTTCGAAAGCTGCTCTCTGACCTAGCTGCCTCCACAGGAATCAATCTTCCTTTCCCTCTAAAGAACAAAGGCTCTCCAAGCTGCTCTAACCCTGAGCCCAGAGTCGCTCTGTTCCTTTTAATCTACAAACCCTACTTCTCCAAGCCACCTCCTGCGATAGCTTGGCAGCTGACAGTGCCTCACTGATGCCTGTGCCAGGGTTCATGACCAAGCCTGCTTCCTTTCGAGGAGGACATGTTAATTTAGCAAATGCAGACAAGACTTTTGAACAGAGACTTGCTATGTTTCCATGGCAACATAAATTGCTTATGAAAATCTGTAGGAAGATTTGGGACCATTACAAGTTTGGTCTTCTTCTTGCATAAAGCAACTGGGAAATGTTGAAAACTTTATTGTGTAGAGGCTAGGGGACAAACTTTGATTTCCCAAGGATTTAGATACATAATAAATAAATCTGAGGCGTGTGGGAAGAGAAATGAGAATTTTACATGATGTAATTGGCAGCGATCATTATTCCAAGTCCCCACCACCATGAGGAACATGTCGTTTTTCTCCACAGCAGTGAAACTGGATTCTTGTACAATCCTATTTCACTGTTACAATTGTCAGTCCTTTTTATACTGGAAACAAAATCATGGCTTCTATCCTATTCTATCACGATTCTTCCTTCCCGAGGTCACACCCTCTCCCTGTGCTCCAGCTGCTGCTGCCCCCCCCCACCTTTGGGACTTCACTCATCAGTAACAGGGTTCTCACAGCTGTCTGTGGTCTGTCCCTCTGCCCTTGAGTTAGTACAGCCAAATGTGCTTAAGTGGGAGAGGGCTTTACTAAAGTAGAGAACAAACATCCGTTTAAAGTGGGTTCGGTGTCGGAGGCCCAGTTTATCAGTTATTCACTGGGGGCTGCTTTGTGTGATCTGACATGAAACTCACTCAGCAGTTAGCCCAGTCCTGGGAGCTGCTGTCCTCACTCTGCCCACCCTTGTAGAAGTCAGAAGTATAATCATGGCTGCATACATATCTGATTGCAACCGTTTAAATTTCCCCATCTGACAGCAAACTCTGGGGAGGCGGAAGCTGCATCCATGCCTGTAATACAAGGCACCTGAAATAACCTCTCTTAAATAAGCAACTCTAATGAAAACTAAATATACTTATTATCTAATCGTCCACCAAGGACTTTCTGATTCTGATAGGAGCCCGTATTCTGCCTTTTAGCCCTTACACCGGGCCTGCATGAGCCAGTCTTCACGTGGCCAGAGGACTGGAGTTGAGACTATTCTTCCTCCTCCTTTCTTCCTGAGACGGGTTCTCACTATGTTTGTCCTTGAACTCACTTTGTAGTCCAGGCTGGCCTAGAACTCACAGATGTCTGCCCCACCTCTGCCCTCGGGGTGCTGATTACACCAAGCCTAAGGATTTCATCTCTGCTCAGTAGCAGTGTCTGTGTTTACCTGGGCTTGCAGGTCTTGAGCTTTCCCGTGACAGCCTGTGTGGCTTTGCTTCTCCTATGAGTTGGACCTACATAGTGCATCTTTATCAGCTTGGCTGGGCAGGAAGCTTTGCTGTCTTGTTTTCATTTGTATTTCTTACATGGATTATAGATGGATGTGCATATGCATGCATGTGCCTCCGGAGGCCACAGGACCACCCCAAGCATTGCTCCTCAGGTGCCATCTTTCACTGGCCTGGAACTCACCAAGTAGACTAGACTAGCTGGCCACCAAGCCCCACAATCCACCCTTCTCTGCCTCCCCAGCACAGGGTGAAAAGCACATGCCCAGCCTGTCTAAATGGATTCTGGGGGGTCAAACTCAGGTGCTGGTGCTTGCAAGACACCATCTACAGACTGGGTTGTCTCCTTAGCCTGCTGTGTTTCTCAAGGCCAGTGTGTAACCAGTGTGTAACTTACTGTGTCTCTGGTGGGAATTTCAGTTTCTGTGTTTAGCTCCCACCATTTCTTTCTCTGCTGAGGTGCAGCATGGAAGCTTAGTTTTAGGTTGGGGTCTGTATTAGAATCTGTTGCTTTGCAATGAATTACTCCAGAGCCTTGCAGCTTAAGGATTAGAGACCAGAAAGAGCTAACCAGATGGTTCTAGTTCTAGGGCCATGTGAAGGCTGGCATGGGCCTAGGGTCTACTTGTAGCTTGCTCAAACCTCTGGCTTTAGCCGAGAGACCCCAGTCCCTTGCTATCTTCTTGACGCATGTGTATAGTGTATTTTGGCCATATTCACTTCCCGTCTCTTGTCTCCTCCCTCTCCCGATGGTCCCTTTCCACTTGTCAAATAGATCCTCAGGGAAGGGGGGGGGGCTCATGAGTCCCTTCCAGTAGCAACCTTTAACAGCCTATACATGCTTAGGGATTTATAACTGCTTATGAATCCTTACGAGCCGTACTCCCTCTGCGACAGAATGTTGATGAGCCTATAGGTCTCTTTGACTCACACAGCAGCTTGCTGTCCCCAGAGAGAGTAAAGAGGAGCCTGCTAGGGGCCTTGTTAGGGGGGAACTCTTCTCTGTAACACGACATTGCCCAGGGGTTTCGAGCTAACAATATAGCCAGATTTAAGGGTGGTTGTGCCCTTATGTAGATGGGAAACTAGGAGGGAAGAAGACATTGAGTGAGAGTTGGGAGCTTCCTGTTCCTTCAGGGGCACCCTTGGAAGTTACCTCACTTTGGCCATATTCCATATCCTCCCCAGCCACATTAAAGAGGAGGGCCTTTGAGTTCCATCTAAGCTAGAGTGCAGGAGAATTTGGGGACATATTGTGGAATGAGACACAAATGCCCTGTGATGCTTCTTGTCGGTCCTTTGGGGAAGACCCGAGTCTTCCTGTTCAGCAGTTTCCAAGGAAGTGGAGGCTGCACCCCTGTCTTAGCAGACGAGGACTACATTGAGAGAGGAAGAGATGTGAAGGAACAGGGCAAAGAATTCTTGACATTTATGACAATGAAATACAATTACACCAGAGCTGGCTTAATGGTTATTAGTTTAGGCAGAAAGCTACAGCTGGGCCTGTTACAGAATGTTCCCTGAAAGTCTCACTGATGTTCAGAGTTGGGGTGACTGAGCTTCTCCCACAGGGTCACATCCCAAGTTTGATACAAGAGACTCCCCACCCACACGATCTGTGAGGAGTCACAGGATGCTTCCAGGACACTCTTGGAGGAAGAGAAACAGTGTTAAGGGGTCATGCTCATGTCCCTGAGAACTGGTTCTAGAAGCTTAATGGCTTGGAATTTACCTCTTTGATATCAGGAGATCCAGGCCCGTCGTACCACAGATCTGTTTGGCAGGCAGGGCTCTGTCCTCGGTGTAGGAGCGTCTAGAATCTTCAGTAGGCAGTGGCAGCCGGAGCACCACAGGACCCTGAACCAACAGCCCTGACCTGTGTGGAGACCCACGTTGACTTGGGGGTCATGGAGAGCACGATGGCTTGGGAGTCAGGCATGAGAACTTGGATGAAGCTAAGGCAGGTGGAGAAGGGAAGAGACAAAGAAAAGCACCAAAGAACCCCTGAAACCCGGGGGCTGGGTGCCACTGAAGGAACAGGAAGCTCCCAACTCTCACTCAATGTCTTCCTCCCCTCCTAGTTTCCCATCTACATGAGGGCACAACCACCCTTAAATCTGGCTATATTGTTAGCTTGAAACCCCTGAGAAATGTCGTGTTACAGAGAAGAGCTTCTCCCTAACAAGGCCAGCAGGCCCTCCATGATTGTTCTAGTCTTGTGTACCCTTCCCCAGCAAATGTCAACCCAGTGGCACCATAAGAAGCAAGCATGCGAGGGATCACCCTGACACCCTGAAGACTCTGACAGCAAAGGTTCCTCACTGTGAGAAGTAGGGAAAGAAGGACTCGAGGCTCCTGCCCCTCGTACTCAGGGCCTGAGTCGATCTCTCCACCACCACACACAAGGGGGCAAGGAGAACTTGGTAGCTGTTGCAAGGCTGCAGTGTGCCTGCCTCAACCTAGTCGGAAGCTCTTAGTCTCGCACATACAGGCATCCTATGTTCACTGACCAGGCTGGGTGTCTCGGCCTCCAATAGAGACTGGGCACACAGACCTGAGGGTATCCTGGATCTCCTGAGTCCAGGCCTGGGAAGGACCCTGAGATCTCTACTGCTGTTCCACACCTGGCCACAAGCATGGATCAGGGACCCAGGTTTGTGTGTAGCTGGGGTGGGATACATTTCTCTGCTGTGTGATGTTTCTCATCACTGATGTTTTCTTTGACTCGCAGGAACGAATTCAGAGCATGGACAGACGTCAAGCCTGTGAAACCGATCAAAGCCAAGCCCCAGTACAAGCCCCCAGATGACAAGATGGTCCACGAGACCAGCTACAGCGCCCAGTTCAAAGGGGAGGCCAATAAGCCCACTGCAGCTGACAATAAGGCCATGGATCGCAGAAGAATACGAAGCCTCTACAGCGAGCCTTTCAAGGAATCCCCAAAGGTGAGACAGCGCTTGCTGCACAGCCTGGAGGAAGCAGAATGGGGGGTCCCTGGCTGGCCCCCCTGATGAGTCTTACCTTTCTTCCTCAGCACACAGGCCCAGGGCCGTCTTCAACAGGTACCTCTGTTAAGTTCAAAGGGCACATTAGGAAGGAGCATTACATAAAAGTAGCTTAACATTTGGAACACCAGATTCTGTATTTGAGAAATGCAGAAGAAAAAGAACAGAAAAATCTCACCTGGGTGCTAAGGCCCCCTGTTCTAAAGGAGCTGTGCTCCAGCCTCTGAGCAGCTGGCCCAGGGTGGCAGCCCCTTACCTGGCCTGTTTTGCAGATGCCATTGGCTCTGCAGCTTCTCCTGCACCCTGCTCCCATCCCTGGAAGGGTCCTTCCCTCCCAGTCTCTGAAACACATCTAACTTCACTCATCCCTCCCTGACCAAACCCCACCCAACACAGTGCCTGTGTGTCACAACGCCCCTGTCACATGAGCACGAGAAGTGTTCCTGGTTATTTATCACTGAAGTAGCAGTTTCTGAATGAGGATTTGGGGTTGGTTTGTTTTTATGCTAACACTGCTATACCTAATTTCATCTCGGTATGAGTTTGTTAACAGGAGAAGCATGTTGGGCAGAGCTAGCAAAGTGGGCTCACAGGACAGCTCCCTGTGTATCAGGCCAGATGGGGCTGGGCACCTTTCCCATGTGTAATAGCCAAACATGTGTGGGGACCAAAATAACCGGCCTTTCTCCACTTTTGCCCTCAAGTCTAGCACTCAGTTGGCATTTCCATTATGCCAGGACCAATTGTAGCCAAGGTAACAGACTGACCCAGTTTGTCTGGGATGCACCTAGTCCTGGAAACCCCCACCCCAATCCATGCAAATCAGGATAAGGTAACTGGACCTCAGTTAGTGAATGGTCCAGCCTGGGAGGCCCAGTGCTAGCTCTATCCATCCACAGATGAAATGGGCTCCAGGATATAAGTTGGCATTGATGGAGAGAAGATTCCGAGTGAGGAAGGAAGTCTGGGGAGCTTAGGGATGGACAGCAGAGTTTGGCATATCAGCCCAGCAAGCCCAGTTACTCCAGATTTCTCTGAGAAAGAGAAAAACAAGACTGTATCTTCAGAATGAGAGGAAAGATCTAGAGGAGAGGCCTGGAGACTGGAGTGACTGCATTGGGGAAGCAGGCAAGATCCAGCCAGAGATAATATATGGCTAGTAGAGCCTACTGCCTGCCTGGCACTTGAGTTGTTCCGAAGCTCTGCACTCCCCACCCCAGGGATGAACCATGGTTCATCCCCATGAATGCCTGCCTGCTCTCTTCATTCTAGGACCCAGGTGACTGAGCATCTGCTCAAAGAGCTCCTCACCCTCACTGACTACAGCAAACCACATACCTGGGCCTGGGGCGAGCAAGGAGGGACAATAGATTCTGTAACTATTATCTAGCCCACCACCTAGATGGACTGCTCCATGGAAGAAATGACAGGGCAGGGAGCATCAGACAGGGGAGGGTGCTGCTACAGGCTGCCTGTGGATGCAGACAACAGAAACCAGATGAGCAGACATGGTTGAAATTCTGCCCTCACTTTGCCTGTCCACTCTGTCACTAGTCACTATTATTCTTTTGTTAATGCTTCAATGTCTTTCTCTAAATCCCCTCTCCCATCCCCCCCCTTTTGTGTTTCTATATTTGTGCTCTGTCTGTCTGTCTCTCCATGCAGGTAGAGAAACCTAGTGTTCAGAGTTCCAAACCAAAAAAGACCTCAACGAGCCATAAGCCCCCGAGGAAGGCCAAAGACAAGCAGGTGGTATCGGGCCAGGCCGCCAAGAAAAAGACCACAGAGGGCCCCAGTGCCACCAAACCCGACGACAAGGAGCAGAGTAAAGAGATGAACAATAAACTGGCTGAGGCGAAAGAGTAAATGTCACTGCACTTTCCTCCTCCCCCCATCTCCCCTCTATTTAAACCAACAAAGAAAGGCCACAAAATTAATTAGAGACTTCCCATCTGCCTTGGTTCCGAGTGTCACAGGAGCCCTGTGGTTGGTTTTTTCTGGGAGGAATCATGTTTCACAGCCGACTGAGGCCTCTGCCTCTTCATATGGGTGGCACAGCACCTAGCCAAGGGTCTCTGGGACACCCGGAAGCATTGTGCACTGGCTATGCACTCCCTGAGGGTCTGGGTTGGGACAGGTCTCAGTTACTGCCAAGTGCAGCTCCTGGTGGAGCTGGGAGTGTCTGCTGCAAGGCATCCTCTCCTGTGCCTCCCAGTTTGCATCACTCGATTTTGGACTTTAGGCAAATATTCTTTCTCAAGTTCATCGGATGCTTGCATGTTACCCAAGTTCAGTTTGGGCTTTAACCATTAGAATTTGTGAAAATGTTAAAAATGAAATCAGCAACAAACCAACCTTGGCCTTACTGTCTATTAACTAGAAGTAACCCTCTCCTGGAACCCTCAGTTAGGAGTGTGTGCCTGTGTTTCGTGCCTGTCAGTGGGCTTTGAGTAGTGTATCAAGTAATAAATAGGCCACCGGCTGGGACTGGCCAGAAGCGGCAGAGTATTTGGAATGCTGAAGCTGTTGTGGCGGGAGCTCCCAGCAGTGGGAGTCCACTTTTCTCTGTTTGCCCTCAGCATACGGCTGATGTTGCAGAACACCCGGTTAACAGAGAGTAGTCAGGTGTACAGATGGTACACAGCATACTTGTGACTTTCTGTTCCTCAGATGTGCTGGTGAGGTGTGTGGACATGCAGCAAGTGTGGTGACACGCCCTCCAGCCCTGAGCCCTTGCTCTTTTTCACAGAGAGGCCAGTGTGCTGAGCATCCCGCCAGTCTGTGTGGTGAGCCCTGCTAAGGGCTGAGCAAGCACCTGTGACTTTTGATGCTTAGAATCAGCTCTCGGTGTGCTCCGTATTGCAGTGTTACCTGTGTGTGACCGAAGGCCCTAGAGTTGTGTTGTAGGAATTAGGGAGTGGTTATGAAAGGAACCCACCCTCCTTACTCATGAGGGAACCCAAAATGTCCACCAGAAAGGTTCTGGTGGCTTATAGATTGCTCTTGTCCTGGGAGTCTTTACTTGCTCAGTGTCCTGAGTAGCTGGGATGGTGCACCCCAGTTTGCTTTCTCTTGTGGTAAAAGTGGTTCAGAGGGAAGGTCTCATAGCCCTCTCCCTCAGAAGTCCCTTCAAATCCCAAGCTCCAGCTCAGTTTCACGGTGCAGACAGTGAAGGTTTCGTTCACCCCTTTTGGGGCTGGTTGAGACATGTTTGTAAATTAACTCACCAGTGCTGTGCAAGCCTTCATTTTAACAGAGCAGACTAGAGATGAAGTCTATGGCGTCACCTGACGCCGTCTTTTCCATCTCAGGGCCTGGACTGTGAGGGAGGCATGCTAGAGAAGGGAGGAGATGCTGACGAGTCGTTGCCACGACTCACAGGTTTCGAGTGCCTGTCCAGAAATGCCTAGAGCTCCATACTGTTTCTGGCTACCTGTCAGCCAACCTTACTGTTTACTGAGAACTCTATCAAGTGCTTCAACTGCTCGCGCATGCTCCTCTCAAATCCCCGGCACCAGCCTGATCTGCTGTTAGTCACGCTTTGATTTCCCTGTAGAATAGCTGTGTGTTTTGTGGATAGAATAAGTCAGAGTTTACAATGCACAGGGGACCCTTCATTCATCGTTTATGTTGTATCTCGTGCCGGGCACTGTGCCGGGCTGGGGGGCAGACAGGTCTCTGTAGTAACACATCCAGGTGCATGACTATCCCACATATGCTGTGACTGAAGTGAGTTGGTGTTGTGCACACTGTAGCTTGCCATAGCTTACCACAAGGACCCCAGAGCCTTAGGGGCTGAATTTCTTACCCTGCCCTGCCTTGAGGCTTTAGGTGACCTGGATAATGTCCCTTTCAAGCTGTCAGTGTCCCTTTCTTTTTCACACACACACACCTATGAAAACTGTTTGCAGTTCACTTTGACTCTTGAATGTTTCACTCCACTAACAAGAAACTTCCTTTGATTTCTACTGTTTACAAATAAAACTCAGCCAGTCTTGTTCTGTCTCCCAGACGTTCTGGACGAAACTGACTGTGGTTCCTCAAGCAGTGTTTGGTGTTGCCTTTATGCGGGTGACCAAGCCTATTCCTCATTCTGTACATTTCTCTGCTGTTCCCTGTTCACCCCCGGAAAGAGGGCTGGAATGGAGACATTTTTTTCTTGGCCTGACTGCAAAACTGCCCCCTAGTTCTGGCCAACTTTCTCTTCTCTGCCCCAGCTGCTAGACAGCACATGTAGCCGTGTCACTCTGAGGCAGAGAGGAAGTGTCTATGATTTTGTGGCCCGGGTTTTGTTGCATACCACAGATTGTCTATGTATCATGTAGTGCACACCTCTCTTGGTGCTATCTCATTCCTGCTGTTAGAAAAAAATGACAAAAAATATTCATGTATAGCCAATTGATTGTGACGTCTCGTGGTCTGTGCTTGCTCAGAAAGCAAACCAACAGGTGTTTTTCCAATTACAAATAAATGCTAAAGACAAACACCACTTTCTTGATCGAATTTCCTTGGTGAGGCCCCCGCTGAGTAGGTAAAGGAAGCCACCTTTGGCAACCGAGCCTCTCTGTACAAGATGAGCTGTGCCCTGCAGTTTTCCCGGGGTCTCCATAATGCAGCTTGCCTCTTTTAGATTGCCTCTCAGATACTAATTGCAAGCAGTCAGAGCTAAATGTTGGGAAAGGCGAAGATGGACCTGAGATGCCCTGGCCAACAAGGTAGTGTAATGTTTTCATGCCGTGCCCCTGGAACAGTGACCACCCGCGCAGCTCACTGCCTCACCAGGGTGGGGAGCTGCGGTCTAACTCTTCCCTTCCTGTGGCCAGCAGCAGTGATGCTCCTGGCCTTTTCTCCTCGCAGGGGTGGCAGAGACACGTTCGCTTGCTCCTTTAACCCACAGTCATGTTACAGGTTGCACCCAGGAGTTGGCTCACTGTGTCGTGCTTGTGCCTGACGTGGGGATGGAAAACATAGCCACCAGAGTGGCTCAGTCAAAGGCCCAGTGGGTCGGGGAACTTGGAAGCCCTAGTGGAGAGTAGGTTTTCCTGTGGGGGTGGGAAATAATGGAAAGCTTCCGGTCAGAGGGCTCTGAGGAGGGTGGCAGGATATAGGTAGTCTGGGCATGTGGGGCAGGTCTCAAGGCAAAGGAGTAGATTCAGGGATGGGAAGGGGCGGGGCTGGTGGAGAATCATATTAGCTCACTTTGTTGTCCTTCTAGTAAAGCAGGAGACAAAGACTTTGCTCTCATGATTTCTCCAACATGTGTCGATTGGATACTGTTGTGTGCCAGGCTCTGTGCTGGGCACTAGGGGAGCCAGGAGACTGAGACCATACCTCTGATCACAGTGGGCATGAAGGAGGAGTCTGTTCTAGCTGGTTCCATGGATGAGAAAGGACTCAGCAGATGGGTAGGTGCTGATCAGGTGAATGGAATGGAACATCCCCAAGGCATGCCAAACAGAGGAATGTGCCCAAGCAAAGGTGTGGAGGGGCCGTGCACTTGACGAGCTCTGGGGATAGATCTCTTGGGGGCGGAGGTGGCAAAGGCCAGTGAGGGCAGTTCGTGGTAGAAAGGCCTAGTGTTACATTATGGGTGGCTACTACCTGGGGGCTCCATGTCACATGCCCAGATTGCACCCATGCCCTGCATGCCTCTGCCATCATGCTTTTTGCCTTACCATGCCACAGCCACAGCCACAGGTCCTTTCTCATTCTATCCAGGAGCCCTATGGTGGCCGCACTTCTGAGTTTGGGAATGCAATGTCAAAAATCAATCTAGGGTATTAATATTTTAAAAATCACCATGTTTGTCTTCAGGAATCATTACTTTTATATGAGGTAGGATATACAAAATCTGCTTAGCAAATAAAGATATAGATATGTATTAGTCAGTTATCCCTCCCCTCAGTTAAGGGAGACTAAATAGTACTGGGAGATAGAACAGGAGGGAATAGAAGTGCAAACAGAGGCAAAGGAGAGAGAAGAAGAATTAAAACTACACATCGGGACACCAAAAGTAAGCCCAGGCAGTGAGAACCAGACTGGGTCAGGAACTGTGCCAGGGAGGAGGTGGGAGGGTAGGACCACCTGGCCTGCTTGGTTTGCACCACCAAGGTGAGCTGGTTCAACCCCACACCTGTGGCTCCTGCCACTGTCCACAGGCCAAACATGTGGATCTACATGTCACATATCTACCTGCATCTTATTCATAGCACTTTCCTAAAACAAGCAACAGCTTGTTAGAATGGGCCACTGTTGCTAAATTAGTCAGAAACATGTTTCAATTCTTGCTTCAATATATATGTGTATATAATTTGGTGTAATTCCACCCAGCATCAGTCCCATGTAGCAAAGGCTGTGGACCCCCGAAGTACCTGAAGTACCTCGTGGTGGTTTCAAGGGCCATTTACAGCTCAAATATATTAGCAGCTCCCATTTCAGATATCAGCATTTCAGGATGTATCCTGTGGGTCACCTGCAGTTAAATTAGGCCTCTGTTCCCTAAAACCACTGTCACCAGCACAGCCTGAGTGGCCATGGAGACAGCAGAAGTGGCCCTCTCCTAGACCACACTTGAGGCAGGTACCCCAGATTCTTGCCTACCTCCAACAGGGCTCTCAGTGCCCTCTAACATGTAAGTCATCTTACTGTACTCCCAGCAGCAGCAGAGCTGAGACTAAATGACTTGGGCATTTTCTCAAGGAGTTTGCCTGAGATGAAAAGTGCCCAGTGACATTGTGGAGTTGGCAGCTGCACACTGGGTCTTCACCAGCCTCTTCGAGTCTTTGTACCCTTCTCTAGAAGGAGAGACACTATAACTCAACTCAGGAGAACAGGTTGTAAGGGACATGGACAGTAGACAGAT